GCTAGCTATTGTGTTAGAATGGCTAGGTTGTTGGATTGTCGTTAGATTGGAATAGTTTAGTGTGGAATTGATTGGATATTGTTGCACTTGTCTGAACTATTGATCTTGGTTTTTGGATATTGAAATGATTGGTTTATTGTTTTAACTGCTTTTTGGTTCCGCTGTTTTAATGTGATTGAATTGATTGGAAGTTGAGAGTTAATGTTTATGGGAACATTAATTCGATTCCATTATTGATTAAAAATGTAAAAAAATAAAAAAAAACGGGTTGGATTGTTTCAAATATCTTTGCAATTCCAACTTGAGGAGGCTATCAATGTATATAGATTTTCGGTTTAATTCAATTGTATAGATACCGGTTAAGTTAACTTTGGTTTAGTGGTTTAGTGATTGTGTATATAAACAATCTGTAAGTCAATATTTCCTTTTAAAGAAATAGAAAACATTTTCCAGATTCTGAATCTCTAATTGAACTTTCGGTTAAAAAGCGGAGAAAATCTTTGTGAGCAGAGGAAAAGACAACCACATGCTTTTGAATATCTTCATGTTCTACAAACTTATGCTTTATCATATAATAGCATGTACGTAAGGGCAAACCATCTCTAAACAAGAGAAAGCTCCTATCTCCGAATCTTTAGTCTTTGAGATGCAAGGTACAAAATCTTAAACAGTGATTTGGGAGGAAACTAATTTGTTTTAAAGGCTACGTTGGATTAATCTATTATGGTGGAGTGGAGTCTCTTATGGAGGCTACGGGTCAACGATGAATTTCAGACAAACGATTATATTTTGTTTGGTTGCTTACTTACTTCTTTGTGTTTGTAAAACTCTATTTATCACCATTTGGTTCGCATCATATAACCTAAATAATAAGGTTGGAAAACAAAATCAAACGCTTAAATTTCAATCCACTTATTTAATTTTAAATTTTGTGAATTCTACAAAATTTCTTAGTTGTACATAAATGTTTCAAAACACGCAAAAAAATCTGTAAAATTAATTAAATAACATGGTTAAACAACTTTGAAGGTCGCAGATTTGATTCGCGTTGAGAGCTCCAAAAAAGAATTAAATCACATGATTTTGGATCCATCCGGGAAGATATACGGGAGGCCCCGAACCTCCTATCCTAGTCATAAAAAAAAATGCTATACCCAGAGAGGTGGACGTACGTCTTGTTGTGTGGGTGCAAATGTCCCCATCAAAATTTTATAATAAATCTACATTAGCTTTCATAGTTTTGGAAGAAATTTAGCTGAATTAGTTAGAAACATTTCTTTTTTACTCTCTCTATTGTTCAAATTCGAACCAGTTTTGCCCCCAGCTAAAATGTCTCTGGACTAAAGCCCAATGGGCTTAAATTTCCGCTTTATCAGTGTGTATCAAACCCGAAACAAAACTAATTCACTAGAATTTGGCCCATCAAACTAATAATAGAAGAAGAAATAAAAGAAACCCTAAGAAAACATGAAAGTGGGAGCTATATATAAATCAATCTAGGGTTTTGGTTGCTGCTTCTCTTTCTTCTAAAGCTGCTGCGAGAGGTAACCCGTCGATTTTCACAGCCGGAGCTCAGTCTGATCTCGGAGAAATCGCAGCCATGGCGGAAAAAGCTGTCACAATCAGGACCAGGAAGTTCATGACCAACAGGCTTCTCTCCAGGAAGCAGTTTGTGAGTTTCAGTCCCTCCACTGCATCTCTCTATGTCTCTGTGTCTCATTTGACATTAGCCAGTGTCATAATCTTAGTTAGATCGATTCATTAGGAGAATTTATTTCCGTTTTTCTCATCGACGACGGATTGTTGGTTTTGTCGGGGAGATTTTTATGTTTAAACTGAAGAAAAGGAGGAATTTGGTCTGATATTTTGCATTTTAACAGCTTGATTCTTCCTGATATGTTGTAGAATGTTACATTTGGTCAGTGGAGAAGTAGAGAGTGATAAGATCGCTCATTTTGAATTGAACGATTCGATTTTAACAGATAGATGTTTTGCATCGCAAATTGTTGTTGTAAACACAGTTAGCTTTTGATAGCTTAAGATTTTTCACATCAGATTTTGTAACCAATTAGCGATCGGTGGCTTGTGAATGTAGGTTATTGATGTTCTTCACCCAGGAAGAGCCAATGTTTCAAAGGTATTCTCTTTACTTTCATTGGCGTGTTTCTCTGCTCTCTACTATAACTCAATCTATCTAGCTTTTATTGCATTCTTCATTTTCTTAGAGCTTTGAGGAGTTGCTAATTGTTACGTTTTGTTTGAAGGCCGAGCTGAAGGAGAAGTTGGCAAAGCTGTATGAAGTGAAAGACCCAAATTCTATCTTCGTTTTCAAATTCAGAACCCAGTTTGGAGGTGGTAAATCTTCTGGTTTCGGTTTGATCTATGATAATGTTGAGAGTGCAAAGAAATTCGAGCCCAAGTACAGGCTGATCAGGGTAATTGCTCTTTATACTCTTATCGTGTGATACTGTTATAGCAACATCTTTCCTTCTTACTAAATACTAATCTCTAGTGTTTATTCTATCGATGTCCATGATTCTTAAATTTTACATGCCATGTAATGAAATTGTGATGCTCATGAGAGACTTGTAACAACTTGAGAGTCATGCTAAAATGATTTCCTTTGTGCTTGATAGAATGGTCTTGACACTAAGATTGAGAAATCAAGGAAACAGATTAAGGAGAGGAAGAACAGGGCAAAGAAGATCCGTGGTGTCAAGAAGGTGAGAGACCAACACTTTCAATAATCTACATTTGCAATTGTTTGTTTCGTGCCCCATTTTTTGTTAACGATTCTTTTGGTTATTCAATGTGTGTGTAGACCAAGGCTGGTGACCCCAAGAAGAAGTGAGATGTTGAAGAGAGCAGCAGCATTACCGGTTTTATTCTGCATCATCCCTTCTTTATGGCCATGTCTGCTATTAGACCTCTTCTAAAATTACATGTCGATTTTGTCACACTGGTTCTATCTCGGTTTGGATTATGTTTTAATCGTTAGAGAACATGTGGTTCAGATTTTGGTTGAATACTTTTATTTAAACTTCATCTCGTTGGCTCCTCTTGAAAATCCGTAGTCAAGCCCGTAATGGCTAAATTTAGTGTTTTATTGTTCACTAATTATAAAACAAAAATGCATATATAGTTGCCCAATTTGCAACATTTCGTATCAACTCGGTACTTGGTACAAAATTACTATACGTTTAACTCAGACCAAGTTTCGGACAAGATAGCTAAACAAGCACTCTGTTTTACTACTTATGATGTAACTATTTCTTCTAGCATTACGAGCCAAAGCATCTGTGATAGTGTTTGATTCCTTAGGGACAAAGCTAGATTTACGTATGGGATTAAGTTAGATGGTGTATGCCTCTGAGAAGCTGCATTCTCCGGCAGCAAAATAATGTAACATTTTAGGGTCTCCATTAAAAGCTAAGTGTTGTTTTGAGCGAATTTTTTATTTTAACTAAGCTGTCATATGATTGTTATCACCTACAGCAATTGATGATCTAACTCTTCTCTACAAACATTCCACAATGGACAATTTTACTTGCACGGTAATGATAATCTACAATAGATGGGTTTACCAACTTCATGTTCACGACAGAAAATTTTACCCCTAACACACTGGACCCCGATGAATTGTGATGCTTTGGAGATTTCCGATAAATTTGTCTCCACTAATTTGCATCATTTATATTTTTTTATATTAAAACTTATACATGATATAGAAACATTAATAAACATTTGATCAACTACATGATCAAGAGGATTTACGTGGGTTTTAGCGAATTAAGAAAAAAATTGGAAAATTAAATGTTGCTATTGGTAAAGTTTTCATGTGGGTTTTGAATTGTTGTATTCTTCTTTAATTATGAGTTCTGTCGCGGAAAGAGTGGAATAAACTATCATTGCTTTTTCTTCATCGGATTCCTACTATATCAATTATATTAGTTTTTAAACTGAAATTTTGTCATGTGTTAAATACTTAAATGTGGACGTTATAATTTTGTGACAAAGTCAGCTGTTATAATTTGACAGAAAGTTATGTATAACACCTTCAAGTCTCCCTTGCATGAATTTGTTTTGTATGTATCCAACTATCGTTAATACATACAAGCATTCGTATATCCCTTTTCTAGTCCATTGTTTCTTATTACCATTTTAAAATGGAGGCAATATTTGATTATTTGGAAGGAGTAGAAAACGTACACGCGAGCATGTGTGTTTGTGATCTATAACTGATTTTTTTGTTTAATTGCGTAACTACTTTGATCCTTCTAGGACCAAAATACAATCTTGCTCTTTTATTCGTTTAACGAAACTTGCTCTATAATTTTATATGCAAAAGGTTTGCATCCATTGTAATGTATAAGTTATAAACCCTTTAACAAAAAAAATTAAATTATAACCTCTAGCAGTTAAAAGAAATCTCGATTATTGATACAATGATACATCTACAACATTTAAAATTAACACTATCACAAATGATTAAATTATGTCTTCGTTTTCTTTCGTTATTCGTTTAACTAACTCATATGGGTGAGTCGGTGACGTGCGTCTCTCTCGTTCAATTATTGAATGACATAAATAGTTATATATTGTTTTTTTTTTTTTTGATAAAGAGTTATATATTGTTTACATATATCGCATGCAACGTTTCTCACACATCCATTTTCTATTAAAGAATTGTCCTTCTCTTTACCATTTTTTACTTTGATGGTTGTATACAATAAGTCTTTTTCAAATTTTTTTTTGCGTAGAACAAAGAATTTATTGGCCAACCAAAGAGTAAACAATAAATTACTAAAACCTAACTATATAATTGACTTTTTAGGTTAATGGTGTTTAGGCAATGTTTAATCTATACAACTACATACTTGGCTTATAATTTTACAAAAAAATTCGACCGGTCGATAATGATATTATTCTTTTGTTTTTTTTTAAATTAAATTA